CAGGATGTGCTCCAGTCTCTCCTCCTCCCCCATCATCTGTTCCTGTGTGCTCTGGTCAGATATATCCTTCTCCCGACTCACCTGAGAAGAGTGTATCTCAAACGATGGCACTGAATCTGCAGTGTCTTATAGTCTTACACTAGTCACTGCTTTCAATGGAACTGAACCGAAGGAGGGAACAAATAAAAATACCAAATAAACCAGCAGGAGATCGGATTAAATTTAACAAAGACAGTCTCTACACAGTAAGATAAGCCAAGCATGGTTTTTGTCCTCATATTTTAATAATGTGAGAGGGTTTAGTGACAGGTATCAATCATGTAGATAAATAGTTATAATAAAACATAGCGTTAGAGAAGGTTTTTGTTAAGTCAGAACCTAATTGCTTTGGAGTTCTAAATAAAGAAGATATACACTAGTAATAATAATAACATACACATGAATAACTAGCATCTCTTGAGATTTATTATATACTGGATACTTTAAAGGAATTGTTCGATTTAATCCACAAAACCATTTGTGAAGGGAAGCGGGAAACTACGATGGCGGGTCAGCGTGGAACCCTGGTTGTTCTGGAAGGTGTAGACCGCGCTGGCAAAAGCACGCAGAACCGCAAGCTGGTGGTCACGCTGTGCGTTGCCAGCCACAGGGCCGAGCTGCTCCTTTTCCCGGAAATATCAACAGAAATTGGGAAGCTTCTGATCTCATACTTGGAGAAAAAAATCGAGATGGGGGACCACTCGGTGTACCTGCTCTTCTCTGCCAACCGCTGGGAGCGAGTGCCTTGTTTAATCAGGGACAAGTTGGACCAGGGCTTCACCTTCGTCGTGGACCGGTACGTCTTCTCTGGGGTCACCTTTATAGCGGCCAAAGAGAGCTTCTCCCTGGATTGGTGCAAGCAGCCAGACGTGGGCCTCCCCACGCCAGACCTGGTGCTGTTTCTGCAGCTGCAGCTGGCTGAGGCCACGCGGTGTGGTGGCTTTGACCAGGAGCGATACGAGGACAGGGACTTCCAGGAGCGAGCTTTGGGCTGCTTCCAGCAGCTCATGCAGGACCTGAGCCTGGTCTGGAAGACTGTCAACGCCTCCCGGAGCATCGAGGATGTGCACGAGGAGATCCGCACCCTGACCGAGGAGGCCATCCATGCCACTGCGCACCAGTCGCTGGGGGCGGCTCTGGGTGTGGGTGCTTGGGCCATGTGGTAGAGGGACGTGGGGGAAGGGCGCCTGTGCCCTGGCTCCCAGTCCCCCATTGCTCATGATGGTAAGAAACAAGTGTTAGAAGTAGCCTGAGGCCAGGTCTCCTCAGATGCCAGGCCCCTGGTCACAGTCACACCCAACACTCCCTTTTCCTAAGACCCCACAGCTTGAGTGCCAGGGCCTTGCTCCTGCTGCTCTGTTGTGAATTGCCGGGAGCAAACCCTCCTGCGTGGGTCTGGAAGACTCTGCACCATGTCGGTGGGGGTGGAAAGCTCTGGGCCAACCAGACAAGTGTTAGCAGGCACCTTGAGCAGCACCTGGGCACTAGGGGTGAGTGGGTGGCCCCAGGGCCTCAGGCCACACCCTGCGGGGGTGCCATTGGGTCAGCATCACTCATCTTGGGACCAGGTGACTGCCTGGGTTGTGACCCTGGAAGCTGCCCCACAGTCTCTGCTGGGACTCACAGGGTACCCAATGGGCCTGGGCATTGCTGTAGGGTGATGTGCAGCTGCACCTGCGCCCGCACCCATAATAACGTCTGATCTGGTGTGAAAAAAAAACACATTTGTGCAGTTACTGTTGTTGTTAGCTTCCAACAAGTCACCCCCTTGACTCATGGTGATAATATTTTTCACAACAGAACAAAATACTATCTAGTCCTATGCCATCCCCATGATCAGTTTCAGATCACAACATTGTGTCATAGAATGTTCTTTGTCTGGATTTGGGCAGTATGTTACTAGGCCTTTCTCCCTACTCTGTCTTATGAGGTTGTTGTTATTGAGTGTCACAGAATCAGCTATGACTCATAGTGACCCTATGTACAACCGAAGGAAACACTGCCCAATCCTGCACCATCTCCACAACTGCTATGTTTAGAACCATTGATGGAGCCACTATGTCAGGGCCCTTCCTCTTTTTCTCTGCCCCTCCATGTTGCCAAGCATGATGTCCTTCTCCATGGATTGGCCTCTCCTGACAACATGTCCGAAGTATGTGAGAGGAAGTCTCACTATTCTTGCTTCTAAGGAGCATTTTTGGCTGTGCTTCTTGAAAGAGACATCTCTTTGTCTGCCACTCCATGGTACTTTCAATATTCCTCACCAATACCATAATTCAGATGCATCGATTCTTCTCTGTTTTTGTGCTCATTGTCCAACTTTCTCATGTGCATGAAGCGATTAAAAGTGTCTTGTAAGCTAGGTACTATTATTTTCCTCATTTTAGAGAAGAAATCAAGGTTTTGAGAAGTTAAGAAACTTTCTTGAGTTCTCATAGCTATTTACGAGACTGTCTCAAAAATCTCTTTAACTCTAACCCCCATATTCTTAATCTCTAAAATCTATTGCCATTGAATTTATTGACCAGGAGGTCACCTTTGAGAGAGAGGTTCCAGGAGAATAATAAGGGTAGGAGTCAGATAGCAAAGACTGATTGAAACTGAGAGGTCAGATGTGAGAATGAGTGTGGAATGAGTGGGTGGTGAGAGGTTAAGGGTTATAACTTATTTTCTCTGCAGTTTCGAAAGGTTGACAAAGAAAGGTAAATAGTGGGGGTGGGTATCTGAAAAGTATAGAAGAGTCCAGGGAAGTATGTTAGGGTAAAGGAGAATTGAGCTTACTGTAGGTTGAAGAGCAGCCAACCGGTGAACAGAAAGAGAAAGGACATAATTTATGGAACAATAATTTGGTGGAGAGGGGAGGGAAGATTAAGAGGACAAGGGGAAAGGTTTAACTTCGCAAAGAGAATGACATTTATTAGGTAACCCATTTTCTTAACTGGTTCTGCTTTCTTTCATCCCATCAAAAAGTGACTTCTCAATTAGTACCTCACTTGGGTAAATATAATTACTCATTGGTATATATTATATAAACTATTCATAGGGATATGACAAAATATGAAATAAATATGAAACACTAAATAGAATTAATTTGGAATTATAATGAATAAATGAGAGGTGCCGGTGTATTAAAAAACAACACAACATGCTCTATCTCTCTGATAGCTGAATTTTTCAGAGAAATATGGGAAACAAAGAAGAAACGTACACCTTCTTCCCAAATAGCCCTCAGAAGCAGTTCATGTTAATTTGAGCTATTCATTCAACAAACATTCATTGACAGTCTGCTCTGTGCCAGATTCTGTGTGAGGCATTGGGAACCCAAGGATAAAAGAATTCACCAACTCAAAGAGCTCCCAGCCTAATGGAGGAGGCAGTGAAATCAGCACAGGAGTGTTCAGCATGATGGAAACAGTGATATAGGTAATGTTTGAAATGCTGTAGCACAGGGCAAGGAAGGGGATGGGCCTCAAAGAAGACTTCCCAAAGTGAGTGATATTTGAGCTGCATTTTGACCTTGTACTGTTTCTCTTCTGGGGACCAGCACTTGAGGCCAGGCATTCCCCTACGGTGTCATGTTACAGCCAACAGCTGCAATTTACCACCCTGGCTTCATCCTCAATATCTGACATCAAGGTCACTGAGCTGAAAGTCTAAGGGGGTATAGTATAGAAAGGCTCTAAATATATAACCTTTAGGTTATTTAGTGGCAAGAGATGATAAGCACTAAATTTTAGTAAAGGGTCCAAATTATAACCTAAATGGATAACCTTTCTTTTTCTGGGGTTGAGAAGTGAGAAAGTGAACAGCTAAATAGACCAGCGCTATAGTAAGAAGGAAATAAAGAACATCTTCCTCTCTATTCGATCTTTCTGCCTGCTGAGCTGAAGCCCTTGTCTGCATACACATCACTGCCCTTGTTTCAAACCTTAGTCTTCCACCCTTTTCTACATGAAAAGGACAGTGAATTTATTGCACCTCTGTGCCAAGGCCATTAGAAATGAAAAACAACCTCAACCACAACCAAGGTCTATTTCTCCTTTCCTTGAAGCTAGAAGCAGGACTTTTTTAGGTCAGTTTCTATTTTATCTGAACCACTTGGCCCATCTGGAGTAGTCACTCTAGGAAATTCAAAGATAAATTTCAATTTTATAAAGAGGAAATTCTTAAGTGTCTCCCTGAATCTAATCAAACATACCCTGTTGCATCCTTCTGCCCTGGCATGATTCTGAGCCTCAAAAGAAATTCTAAATGTCAATGATCGGTTCTAAGAATTTGTTGTAGGGCAACAAAAAGACTGCAAATTCAAATATAATTTATAGAGACATGTTTAGACATGTTTATTAAGTCTTACACAGGACAAAGACAAACCATCCAAGTGAAGGAGACCATTGGCATGAAACCAGAAAAACACCCAAGGATTTCCAGAGAAGCAGCCACTTCAATAGGACATGGGGAACAAAGGGAACCATTTCAAAATGATGATGGGCGGCAGATCAGTTCATCACAGTTGCAGGGTGAACTTCAGAAGCAGGAGAGGGATATTTACATAATTGCAGGTAGAAGAGCTTATAAAGTCAGTTCAGGACCCTCAGACCTAGGCAGTCAGGGTCTGACTCTTGACTATGTGGACACTAGTACCTACCCCACATTCAATCTAGGGCACACACAGGCAAGTCCCTAAAGGCTAGGCTGCCCCTCCCTGGGCTGGATAGGGAGTGGTTGCAACACACTTTAAACCCCACTCTGTCTGAAGGCAAAGCTTTTCACAGCACCAGTTGATGGTCAGAAAGAATTAGATGGAGGCTGAATCTATGTGGAAATTCAAAAATAGATTTAGGGCTCTCACGGTAAATGGTAGACATCTGAAAACCTTGTGTTCAGAATTTAGGCTTTAATACATATTAAAGTATTTCATGTGCATTCTCTCCTTTCGCCATTCATTATTTGTGGACTTGGACCTATGACTGAGAGACTCACCTGCAACCATTTTCTTTATAAATTCACATTTTTCTTTTCTTATGCAAATAATGTGTCATTTTATGATTATAACCCACCAACCCTTAGTATTTTCCTGTGTACAATATGCTAATTTATCTATTTATTTACGAAATTTGCATAGCATGCTTAGGAAATATCTCACTGCAGGAGGGCACTATAGAAAAAAATAAACAAAAAGACGTAGAACTTGCATATTCACTTCCATTTAGTCAACGATGACCCATAACCACATTGTAGGGCAAGCCAGAACTGCCCCTGTGGGTTTCCAAGACTGTAACTTCTCCTGGTATAAACATCCCTATCATTCTCCTGAGGAGCAGCTGGTGGTTTCGAACTGCTGCCCTTGTACTGAACTTGTGGTTAGCAACCCAGTGCATAGCCAGGACACCATCAGTGTTCCTTTGTGTAATTCAGTAATCTTAAATGGAAGGAGAGATGAAAAGCCAAACATAAGCTATTCGGTTTGGCAGTGCTGACAGACATTATGGGCCTTGTGTTCCTGGAAAATTTTAAAGGCTCTGGTTTTTATTTTTCTTCCTTTTAAAAAATGTTATTCTTCCTAGCTGGGGGAGGGGCTGCTAGAAAAGACATGTTTACAAAGACAATTTAATGGGGGTGAGGCTGGGGAGACAGCCATATATCCTGGATGGCTTACCAGTCTGAACCTGGAAGAAGGCTGTCTTTCACCTCTATGATCCTCAGGTGGCCTACAGCTACACATTAGCCCTGAAACTCTGAACATTGTCTCTTGTACCTGGCAAGGTATGCTCCTTTAGAGGTCCCTTTCATGGTGTGGACGAAGTATAATACAATCAATAAAAAAATTGTGAAATGAACTACTGCCTCAAATATGGCTCTTCGAAGGAAAAGGGAGTGGGGAACAATATAATTCTAAATAAATAAAACTGTTGGAGAAAATTGAATTGTGTTAAATCTTATTTTTAAAATAAAAGATTTCAGTTTTAGTACCAGGGTTTTTGTATACTTCTCCGATGCAAGGTAGATTTTATGTTGGGAAAAAAAAGCAGAACATTTTATTTATATGATGAGATTCTTCTGACCTGGCTTAGGATTTTAGATTTACCAGAGTTACACTTTTTTGTTATTCTTTGTCCAGAAGCATCCAATAGTGATGTCTGGTGGAGGAAAAAAATAGAAAAGAAAA